AGAAGATACCTGGCACAGTGGGAAAGCCAAGCTTTCTGCTCATCGTCTGCCTTCTGGGAAGGCAGAGACGGGCTGGAGGGCATCTCTGAGTGGGCAGTGTGCAGGTGACTCAGAGCTCGGTCCTAGAAGAGGATTTTTGGGCTGGTAGCTGGTGTGGGCAGGAAGCAAGGCTGCAGGGCTGGGGAGGAGACCACAGGGAGCATTTTAGTGGAGTGACAGGCCACACAGAGAGGTCACCCTCAGGCTCAGAGTTGACTATCAGACCCCAAGGAAATATTGCAATATAGTGGCCCTGGTTCTGGAAGAGAAGTCCAGACAAAGAGCTCATGTGGAGAAAACTGTACAACTGACTTAGGGTGCAGTTTCTGAGGCCCATGCAAGTGGCTTTAATGAGAATAGTTGGGGCGTCATTGTCCTGGTGCCCACTGGTAATGGATCCCACAATCTTTCACATCTGTTTTTTACAAGAAAGAAAGGATGAAACACAGGGAAGGAAATCATTGGTGAAGGTGTGAACTTACCTGGGCCTAATAGGATAAGTGGGCCAGATGTCTGCCACTGAGGGAGAGGGACAGCAATCTTCAAACTCCCAACCTGAGCCAGGCATAGGGACTACTGGGGACAGCCAACTTGGCCATCCCTGGGAGGGCAGGGTGGCCCTGAGCCATCTGTTACTAAATCCAGATTCCTAAGCTCTCAACTGGTTACCTTACATGACACTGGGGAATATATATTTGTTCTTCCATCCATTTCCTGGCATATGACTCCTAAAAGAATAACTGTCTTTTTGTACGCTGTAGAGCTGACGGTAGATAGCTTGGGGATGAGGGATGATCCCCTGGTGATGACTACAGCTGGGTTAGAGTTATGTTTAGCCCCATCTCCAATCTCAGGGAGAGGAGAGTGGCTGAAGTCTGAGCGAGTACCAGTGGCCAGTGAGTTAATCAATAATGCCCACCTACCAAAGCCCCCAGAAAACCCAGCAACACAGTTGGCTCAGCTTCTGAAGGACACATGGTAGCTCCTAGGGGGTGACTCTCCCAGAGACAGCACAGAAGCCCCACCCTACCCCCATAGCCTATCCATGGGCTTTGTAATATCCTTTATAATAAGCCAGTAATGCAAATAAAGTGTTGCCCAGAGCTCTGTGGGCCTCTCTAGCTGATTAGTTGAGCTGGGGGGGGGGGAGTGATTTTAGGAACCTCGATTTATTGCAGGTCAGTCAAATCACAAGTCAAAAAGCCTGTGGCTTCGGATCAGCTTGTGAAGTGGGGAGCAGCATTGTGTGGCTGAGCTCTTACCCTGGGAGGACTTGAGAATGTCTCCAGGTAGACAATCAGAGACTGGACTAAACTGGAGGACACTCAGTTACTGTCCACTGTGGGAGAACTGGTGAGTGTGTCACTGGGGGAATCATCCGCACATACATTTTGGTGACCTGGGGTCACAGAAGTGTCCTGTATTGATTGTGTTCAGAGTTGAGTCAAAAATATTTTTCTCCCCGCCCCCCCCTTTCAGGCCTTGTGTTTGGCTGTAGCCTTGCCCAGCTTTTTGGACCCTGTGCTGGATCTTTGGGGTTGAACAAGATGGGTCCACTTTTGGCCAGAGGAATTAAGGGGTATAGGTAAAAGTTATTGTGGTCCATCTCCATATGGTTCATGTGTGTGTGTGTGTGTGTGTGTGTGTGTGTGTGTGTGTTACTAGGGGTAAACTGAGGGCCTTCACACTGAGCAACATCCCTTTTTTAGTTTTTGAGACATGGTCACACTAAATTGCTTAGTTGTCCAGGCTGGGCTCAAACTTCGTCCTCCTGTCTCAGCCTCCCACAGTGCTGGGATTGCAGGCAGGTGCTGTTACACCCGGGTGGGAAGGTGGATTCTTGAGATCCTGTGATGCCCTCTGCCACAGCAGGGGTCTCCTCCTGCAACTACTCCCACCAGAGGAGGTTGTTCTCAGAGATTACACGAAGGGAAGCAAGTATGGGGGTCACATCGCATCTACACTGCCTCGCACCTTTCTAAGGCCACTGCTAGGACTGCTAAACTGACCCCAACCCCCTGCCGCAGGCAAGCAGAGAAGCTCCCCACATGCTAGGCACTGTGAAGATATTGAGAAGGCATTGCACCAGGCGCCCTCAAATTTATCCCCTCAGCTTAGAGTCCCGGACTCTGGAGAGCAAAAGGCCGTACTGTTTTCCTCGCTTAGGGCTGTCGCGCAATCCCACAGTGGGACCGTAGCGCGCGGCCGGTCCTCACGCAGCCCCACGGCGGCGCAGCGCCCTCTCGTGCCGGGCGGAAGTATCCCTGGCCGCGCGCGGGCTCCCAGGCTGGGGGCTGGGGACTTCGGGGAGGCCGGAGGCGGAGCCCGGGGAAGGCTTGTCTCCGAGAAACTCGCGGCCTTCGCCCGCTTCCCGGCCCGGGAAGTGAGCCGGGGTCGACCGCCGCAAACAGGAAGTCGGGCTGGAACAAAGCGCGGGGCGGGGGAGGGGGCAGGAGCTCGGGAGCCCCCGGGCGGCCGCCGCAGCGGCAGTGGCAGGTGGAGGGCTGACCCGGCGACCGGGCGCACCTGCCGCTTCCGCCGCCGCTCCGCTCCGGGACGCCAGGATCCAGCCGGGCTTCGGACATGGGCCGAGGCGCGAGGGAGGGCACGGCGGTTCGGGCAAGGCCACGGGACCTCCCAAGCGCATCCCCTCCCCGGGAAGGGACAGTCACAGTTCCCTGAGTGAATCACTTCCATCCCCTTCCCGGAATGCAGCAGGCCACCTGGGGCGGAGGCCAGGTCCACCGGTGCTGCGGACTCTCATGGGGAAAGGCGAAGAGCTGCTGGCAGGGAGCCAGAGATGGTCCCGAGGCCCCTGGGTTGAGTCCAGTGCCCTTGTCCAGCCTGAATGGGAGAAGCAAGAACCATACTTCAATCCCTTAGCCAGTCTGACGCTGGCCTGAGGGCTCCAGGATGAGCGAGCTGAATAAATGTGCTTCGCAGTGCTACGCTGTGCTCTCCAGAGATCTCCAGGTGGTCACCAGCCCAGGACTCCTGGAAAAGCAGCTGTCCTCAGGGCTAAAGGTCACCGTGTGGTCAGATTGATTCTCTAGGCAAGGCCCTGTTTCCAGGCTGTTAAGTGCTAAACCAGGCATAGTGACGCCGCCTGTGAACCTGTAATCCAACACTCCGGGAGACTCATAGGAGGATCAAAAGTTCGAGTCCAGCCAGAGACAGAGAGACTCTGTCTCAAAATAAAACATTAAAAGGGGAGCTGAGGGTATTAAAAAAAAAAAAAAAAAGACTCCCAAGCTTCTCAGAATTCACCTGTAAAATACCGTGCAAACTAAACGTGGGCATTTGAAATCACTTCATGGTGAGTCTGGGGCTGTTGCTGAACCTTGTTGAACCTGCCACCCCTGGCACATCTGTATACCTGGACACTCATGTATTCAGGAAAGCCCTGAGTCCCTTGCTACTGGGAAGGAGCTGGACCCTCAAGAGTGACTTTCGGGAAGTCCTAGAGAGAGGGGCGATGGATGTGGCCTGGTCACACCCCCAGTGTCTGACCTGGCTTCTGAGCTGCTAGAGGTGGATCAAGGCATGGGCTGCAGGTGGGAGCATGTGTGGGTTCCCATGTTCCCCTGGAAACCAGCATGGTCAGGCTCTCCCAACTCCCCACCTCGGGTATCAGAGCCTGTGAGTGTGGTGAGCCAGCTCTTCTCTGCCGACATGGCAGCCCGTGCAGCCCAGCACAGCCTGGTGGTGTGGACGTGCAGGCCGGCGAGTGTCATACCTGTCCCCCACATGGGAGCCTCGTCATCTTGCCTTCTGTCCCAGCCCAGTTTCCCCCACCCCCCTAGGGCCCGGGAGCTGCTTTCCTGTTTCATTTTGGGCAGGAAGAGTGAGGTCGTGTTGTTCTTCCCCCTGCTGCCGGCTCAGGCTGTGGGAACAGCTCCCTGAATCCTTTCCTGTTTGATACCCTGTGTGTGCAGGGAAGGGAGCAGGGAGCAACGGGCAAGGCGAGCAGCACTGCATGCCCCTGGCTCTGGCATGAGCACCCACATCCAGGGCTGGCATACTGGGTGAGTGGCAGGGAGAACGCGGAGGCAAGTTCACTGCATATATTGAACCCCACTAGCAGTGAAGCATTTGGGGGCTCTATTTTGCTTTACTGTGGACAGGCTGAGAGCTGGGAACTTCTGCTCAGATTTTTATCAATGGCTTATTTTGTCACGATTTGCTCTCCACGGGGGTGTGTTTGTGGCTGTAGAGAGGAGCGTGGCACCCTAGGGACTATCCTGTGCCTTAGAGGAAGCCAGGCATGAAGTAGACTGGAAACTCCCTCCTTAGCACCTCAGTCAGAGAAACCCAGTCTGCAATAATGTCCAGAAGCTCTGAGTAGACAAGGGACCCAGACCCTCTGGGATGTGCCAGCTTCAAGGTGGATGAGCCCAAGATGACCCCCATACCAGTTCCCCACAAGTGCTGAGAGATGAGCAGAGTGACAACAGCTGGATGAAAGATCTAGATGTCCTCATGGCTTAGTGTCCCCACTGTCTGGCGAGGAACTCCTTTTGAACAAAACACCCAGCCCTGGGAGCTCAAGAAGCTTCTGGTTTGAGGAAAAGAGAGAGCCCAGCCAGAGGAGCATTCTCCCAGGAATGCTGGGGGCGGAAAGCAGGTAGTGGGAAATACCACCAATCCCAAAGCCATCAGGCAAGGAAGACTGGCCCGGGCTGGGGCCAGATGAGGCTGGCTAGGCTGCTCCAGGGCCAGGTGGTGACAAGGGCTCTTCACACACTATGCCAGAGCCAACTGTGTCCCCAGGTCATGAGTTTCAGAGGGACGATTGGCTGCAACATGAGAACAAGGTTTAAGAATCTTCCGGAGTCAGCACCTGCCTGGCAAGTACAAGGTCCTGAGTTCGATTCCCAGTACCAATAAAAAAGCATTGTTTGGGGTGAGAAAGTAGGGAAGAGGCTCCCCATTCTGCCAGCACAAAGACAGGACCCAAGAAGTAATAAACTCCTGTACATATCTGTTCCATATTATAAATACACATTATATACAAAATAATGTTATAAAATGTAGAAAGGCCAGTGCTTCTGATTCTTAAATTATTGAAATACTAGATTCCAAAATAAACTAAAAAAAAACAAACAAAATAAAAACTCATATTATTGATTTCTGAAAAATGGGCTTCTAGGGGCAGTAGTGGGCCTGGGCAGAGCCCAGGCTAGAGGTTGTAGGACTGGGTTTGAGGGAGGGAAGGGCCCGGTGGCACCAGACCTGCTTTCTCCCTCACTGGAATTTCCAATGCAACTGCCCTGAGCTCCTCAGTTAACCTGGCACCCATGGCTGGAAAGGGGCAGGCCCTCCACCCATTTGTGCATGGGAGTCCAGCGCACCCAGGGCCAGAGGGTTGTGGGAGCCCGGTAAGCTTTAGCGACGCTTGCCCTGAATGTGCGGGCCAGGGAGAGGCTGGCAGCCTTCTGAGCAAGGCTCTCGCACAGTAGTTGGGGACAAAGGCCAAAAGCACTCCTTGCCCCTGGAGTGACCGCCTTACCTGCAGGGCAATCCTGCCAAGAGCCGCACCCAGGGGCTTTCCTGCCCACAGGAGGCCCTGCCCTTACTGGCCTCTTCTTCTTTCTGATTTGGGCCCAGTTGTCGCTATGGCGCCTGGGACAAAGGCACTTTCAGAACACAGAGGCCAGCGGAGACCACAGTGGCTCCAAGCCTCATGTGGCCAGTGCCACTCTCCCTGGAAAACAGGCCAGGGCCCCAGAAGGTGCCTCCAAAGGCCACTGCTGACAGGACAGATCCAAGTGGCACCGCTCCTCTCCGCTGTTCCTCTCTGGCTGGTGCAGCTGCTATGTGATGCCAACAGACACCCCGAGGTGCACCAGGTGGTGCGTGTCTTGGCGAATTCACAGTCCATCCAGTTCCTGCCATCGCCTCCTCCTCCTGAGAGCAGCACAGTACATAGAGACGTCCCATCCAGGATGCAATGTAAACAGTGCAGAAGGAAAGGTCCAGCCACTGGGCCAAATCTGGGGTGTTCTGGGCAGGCTTGTGCCTTATACCTGGAGAGAATGACAGAGTGCAGAAATGGTTACACCAGGAATAAGCACTCCCTTCTGGGCTGTCCTGGGCCTTCGTGGGAAAAGCCAGTGGGGACACAGTCGCAAAGGGAAAGGGGGCAGTTCCTCTAGTCTGCCCCAACACACACGTCTAGCAGTTTACACTAAGGGGTCCAGTGGAGGAAACGAGTGGGTGGGGTGGGAGGGCATCCTCGGGCCCTAGCACCTGAGAAACAGTGCCTGCGAGCTGGCCAGGTACCACACTACCCTGCCCAGATGCAACACTGTTTAGGGGCACCACTAGCTCCTGTTTCACACTGTCAGGGACCCACGATCCACTGAATGTGGCCTGCTAAGGAGCAATTCCGAGCCCCGCTGCAGGGGAGGGTGTGAGATTGAAAGTGACCAGATCTCTTCCCCAACCGCACAAAGCAGGAGCGGACACATTGGCAGTGAAGGCAAGCCCGGCACTCACCTCCGTGGCAATGACACATTCGTTTCTCTCTTCTGATATCAAACACACAGACTGGTACATGGACTCCCTAGGGGAGCATATCGCTGATATTCGACACTCCGGCTTTTCACTGAGGGAATACAAGACAGGGGCGCGTGAGGGAGGGAAGGAGAGAGGCTGGGGAGGGGCAGGCCACTGATCTGGACTCAGGAGACTCAAAGGGGACCTGAGACAGGGTTCGGGGGAAACACTGGCCAAAGGCGCTCGCTGCAGACCTCTCAAGGGGCCAGTTAGAAGCTAAGAGAGCCACTGTATGGCCTATAAAAAGCAGCACTGGCAACGTGGCGAGCCATGCCATGGGAAGACGGAAATCACAAGAGACATACTGTGGACACTTATGTCACATCCATGAATGAATGAATGAATGAATGAACTGGAAGGTCTTGTCTAGGAAAAAGATCCCCTAGTAGAAATCTTTGGATTTTCTGTTGTTGTTTAGACAGGGACTCAGTATATAGTCCAAGGTGAGCTCAAACTTGCCATCCTCCAGCCTCAGCATCCCTAGTGGTTGGGATTATAGGTATGCCCTGCCTTGCCTGATCCCCTATCGGACAGCTTATGAGAGGATCATCCTGTCAGTAACAAAGCCCTGTTTAAAAGCAGGTTCCATTTGGTCTAGGAACCCAGGCCAAGATCATGCAGCGAGAAGGGCCAGGCCCTAGGCTCCCCATTGTTGCTCACCTGTGTAACCGCAGTGGTACCTTCTCCCCTAAGCTCTTGTCAGTGTGGGGATATTTCCCGAGCAGGGTCCCTTGCCCCAGGGGGCCTGGAGTCAGATTATAGTCCAATGTGTGGTTCTGCTGCTTGCCACAGTTGGACTTGTCCAGACCACAGTCCACCTCTAGCTCCTTCTTCTGATTTGTGTTCTTGAGCTGGGCAGCAGGGATTAGGTTGTCCTTCTGGAAGTCCGACAAGTTGTTCATGGCCTCCCTTCTGCCATCGTCTGGCCGCCGAAGCCGCAGCTGGCGCACAGCCACTGCCACCATGCCCAGCAGCACCAGCACCACCACCAGCCCCACGCCCAGGGACACAGCCACCCAGGGGAAGCTGGGCGGCAGGCCCACAGGGAACTCGCAGCGGCTGCCCACAAAGCCATAGGGGCAGTTGCACACGAAGTTGTCCGGGGAGAGGCCAGTGTAGCAGGTGGCGCCATTGAAGCAGGGCCCAGAGGCACAGGCGTCACTGGACATCCGCACCTCACAACGCATGCCCGAGAAGCCCACAGGGCAGGTGCACACGATCCCATTCTCCAGGTCATGGCAAGTGCCCCCGTGAGCACAAGGATTTCGGGTGCAGTCGCTGATGTGCAGTTCACAGAGGGTGCCTGTGAACCCAGGACGGCAGCGGCACGTGCGGCTTGGACCTCTGTTCAGACACTGGCCCCCTGTGAACACACAGTGTGCAAGTCAGCAACGACCGACCTGGGAATCCCCTGGCACATGGGCTGGGCCCCATCTCCGGAGTGGGAATGTGCTTCTGTCTCCATGTGCACAGCCAGCATAGACAGAGCCCACTGGAAAGAACTGGGCAGTCAGGAGACTGAGAGTTTGGGGTAACCCTGCTTCTCTGCACCTCGGTGGGCTCACACAGCTAGCATTTTACAAAACTGTTGCCTGAAACAGATGCTTGGGTCTGAACCTCAGCTGGCTCTTTCAGATGGGGATCTGGCACCTGTCACTTCCCCATCCCTAACCCTCAGTATCCTCATTTGCCAAAGTGTGGTAGACTATTACTGCCCTCATAGGATAGCTCTGAGGGTCAGGTAGGAGGTGTGTGAAGGCCAGCACATGAGGACAGAGAGTAAATGCACAAATAAATGCAATCATCAGCTGAGCTTCTCTTCTCCATGGTGCTGTCTGTCTTGGTTGCAGATAGTCACCGGGGCCAAGGAGACGAGGACTACTCAAAATACACTGGGTACCCCAGATGCCATACCATGCTCCATGCGGCTTCAGGGAAAGCCGTGGCCTCCAGGAGCAGGGCTCGGCCCGCATTGCCGGCCCTCTTGAGGAGGGACTTGAAAGCCCCAGTAACCTTCTCTCCAGCACAGGCCTTCCTTAGCTAGGCCTGGCTGACATGGAAGTCACGCCAGTGTGCACTACAGCCCCTCTTGGGCTGCTGCTAACTCGCTCCTTTTCCAAAGCCAGCCTTTCACCTCCAGAGCAAATGGAAGTCACTCTCCAACCAGCCAGAGTTCCAGACCCCTCTTTTGCTCCCCACCTCGAAGGCTCTCAGCCCCAGAGCCAAGGGATCAGGTTAACAGGGCAACAAGCCTGTCTTACCATTAGCACAGGGATTGTTGGTGCACCTGTCCACTTTCTTCTCACAGTTGGAGCCGGTGAAGTTGGGTGGGCATTCACAGGCATAGCTGGCCCCCTGGTTTCGTTCCCGGCAGGAGCCCCCATTGAAGCAGGGAGAGTCAGCACAGGTCAGTGTGCTATGCTCGCAGTGCAGGCCATAGTAACCCGGGGGACACAGGCAGTGGTAGCCATCCTCCTGGTCCTGGAGAGAGATGGTAAAGGGGCCAAAGTCAGACCCTGGGGGAAAAGTGGAAGGGGGCAGGGTGTAATTATCACCGTTTCATTTCATCCCTACAACCACATCAAAGACAGAGTACAGGTCCTGTCTCACACTTTCCCATTCAGTGAGGAAGACTGAACTGTGGGGAGCCAAGGGAGCACGGACTCCATCCTACACCCTCAGCCCCTCTCCAGCTCTGAGCCTCTCTCTCCTCCATGGGCATCACTGGGGGCGGGGCTCCACCAGCCCACAGTGCCTGTCTGCGATATTGGCTGCCTAGGCTGGGCAGGCCTAGATACACCTGGCTGGACCTCTGCCTTGCAGCACTCACCTTACAGCTGCCCCCATTGCGGCATGGGTTGCTGTCACACTTGCTGAGTTCCAGCTCACAGTCGATGCCCGTGTAGCCTGGTCGACAGGTACAGGTGTAGCTCCGCTGCCCACTGTTGGAGCACGTGGCCCCATTCTTGCACGGGGTGTGATGGGTGCAGTAGTTGAGATCTGCAGAGACAGGGACTAATGAGGACACAATCACCTCCGGCCTCCTTACACTGCCAGTTCACCTCCACAACTCCAAGAAGTTTCAGCTCAAAGCCTTGTGGCCCTAAATAACCTCCTCACCCTGACAAAATCATGTATACCAGAGCACCTGGAACCACAGGTGACCAGTGCAGTTAATCAAGCTTGATAAAACAGACAAGGTCCTGCCAGCTAAGCCCACAAACACTTGTCAGTCAAGAGGGAAGAGGGCTGAGGCTGGGGATTTAGCTCAGTGGCATAAGCGTCTGCCTGGCAAGTGCAAGGTTGTAAGTTCGATCCCTGGTACCACAAAAAAAAAAAAAAAAAAAAAAAAGGAGGAAGAGGAGGAGGAAGGGAGGGCACAGCAAGGCTATGAAGTCAGAAAAGGCTTCATGGAGGAGGGGCTGCTGAGATAAGCCTGGAAGGAGGGGTAAAATTGCAGCAGCTGGCCTAGAGAGATGGGAGCTACGTTGGTGAGACCAGACATTTTTAAAAGGAAAAGCTTATAAAGAGGTATTTTGGAGTATAAGTATTTGTTTTCTAATTGGAGAAGAACAGAAAGGGAGAACCAGGCAGAGCAAATATAGGGATGGTGAAGCTGTGTTTGCATATGATGAGTGCATGTGTGAGTGTCACCTGGGAACAAGTGTGGATGGAGTTAAAGGAAACAGTGGGAACCAGGTGTGTGTGTTAGAGAGGGGCAGAAAAAAGAGGGGCAGTCACACACATGAAGAACACAGGGACTGTGCCAGGCTCTTAGAAACATCCAACTGGGACCTAGACCGGTCCTTCCCACCCGGCAGGCTACACCCTCCCCGGGCCTATGTGGAGTCCCCACGGCAGCAGGCATCCCACTTGACGCTGCAAACGGAAGGTACACACTGCAGCTGGCTATAAGGACATAGAAGGAAGGCTCCCCTCCCCCAAAGTCAGGACTTAAAGGCTTCTGTGTAGACAGAAGAGTGACTAATCCCAAACATCAGGTAGAGAGGTTGTGTGGGCTCAGACAGCTGCCTGTTGAGTGCCACTGGGGGACAGGGGGGAAGCTCTTTGTGCCTCTTTGTGCCCACATCAAAAAGTCAGATGTCATACCCTCCACCCAGAGACCCAGCTCAGCCACAGCCTGGGCAGCCATGGGCACACCCCACCAGACAGCTGTTTAGGGGAGAGCTGCTCAAACAGCCATGCAAGGTAAGCAAACACTCAGAGGGTTAATAGGTAACTACAAGGCAGAAAGAGGAACTGAGCCCAGCATCCCTCTCTTTGGTCTTGCTAAAATTTATGAGGGCAACCTCTAGGCTGCCAATCTGTCACACTGCTGGCTTCTTCTGCCACTCTGACTCCTTAACACCTGCAGAAGAGGGACCCACCAGCTCTTTCTAGGCCCCCTATAAAGATCCTTTAGAAAGTCTCAAGATCACCAGGTTAGCAGGTGATCAAAGAAACAGCCAGGTTAGCACCAGCTCTGGTTCCCAGCCCCTGCCCTCTCCTCCCCTTCCCTGACTCACCTTGATCACAGAACAGGCCTCCCCAGCCCTCATTGCAAGTACACTGCCAGGGGGTGCTGCAGGTACCGTGGCGACAGCCGTTGTGAGGGATACATTCATTGCACAGGCGGCCCTGCCAACCTGGGCGGCAGCTGTGAGAAACAGAGAGGCTAAGTGAGCTAAGAGGCCTGTCCAAGGAGGGCACCCCTACTGTATGTCCCTGTACTCACAGGCACTCTGCTGGCTTGCTGCAGTAGCCATTCTGCTCATGACAGCCAGAAAGACAGATAGCTAAGGAAAGAAACCACAGGCTGAGGTCAGGACACTGAGGACACTGATGGGCCACTCTCCCTCCATGCCTTGGGGGTGCCTGCTCTCCTGGGCTCATTTCCCACTCTGGGCCTCTAAAAGGAGTCCTGGCCATCTTAAGGGAAAGGAAGGCACAAGGAAGGAGAATTCATGCTGGATGGAATGCACTGCAGATCCTTGTGGGCCTTGGTATGATGGGGAAGAACACCAGGAAGGGATGGTCTGAGTCCCAGCCTCCCTCAGCATCTCCAGTGGGCCTGGGGCCCAGCTCCGGACTGACAGGCAGACTGGCTGAGAAAGACCACCATGGACACAGAAGTGGAGGTCTGGCTGCTTACGCTGTTCGCAGTACTCCCCAGTCCAACCGGGTAGGCAGGACAGGCTGCCATCTGGCTGGCACACGTAGTGGCCGAAGTGGTCATTGCGCTTCTTGCAGAGGCGCGAGCAGCTGTCCCCATAGTAGTTATCACTACAGATGACCCGGTAAGAGTAGCGCAGCCTCGTGAGTGTGCTGGTTTGCTCCTCTGGTAACCAGTTCTGACCCACAGGTAGGGAGCCTTGGATGGTGATCTTGCTGATGAGGGCATCCGGTGGCAAGGCCTCTGAAGGGGCAGAGGGCCAGGTCAGGAAAGGCAGCTGTCTCTTGAGAGGAGGCAACTTCTAGCCATCGCCTCCTCCACCCCCAGCTGTGGTTATGCTGCTCAGCTGCAAAGCTGCCTGCTTGTCCAGATGACCTCCGCCTGCCAGCAACACAGGCCAGGGACCCAGGGGTCCCGCTGCTTAGCTGCCTGTGTGTGCATGTGCAGGGGACCTGATATCATTCAGAACAGGGACAATAGAAGGATGTTAAGATATCCCAGTGTTCTGGAAGCAGATAGGGAGGAGAAAGAGGAAAAGAGGTCAAAATGGAAAATATAAAAAGGGGCAGGGGGAAAGAAAGAAGAAAAGCTTTCCAGGCAGGGAACCCTGAGAGCAGGGTCCTCTGGTGCCCCCTCAGAAGTTCTGCTCCCAGAGGTAGGTAGTGGTTTTCTTTTTTTCCTTTTCAAAGTGAGAATTGTTGTGCTGCTGAAATATCCTTTTTCCTCTGTGTCAGAACAACATCCCAAAGCCATTATTCCCTTTCCAAAGGAGCGGAATTCGCGAAAGGTGTAAAATACAGGAAGGGGCCCGTCAGCGGCGCTGGCAGCTTCGGCCTTTCTCACCGCCGTGCTCCCCGCGTTCCCACGCCAAAAATAACCCGCAGGAAACGCAATTGTGCTCTGAGTCCAGGCAGCGAGCGGAATCTGAGCGTCCAGCGCGGGACGCAGCTCCTGGCCAAGCAAAGCGTCCTTCCCCCCACTCCAACCCCGTGCTTCCCCTGCCTCCAACACGTTAACTCTTTCGGCGCTGCGCCGTGTCGCCCCCCTGTGGCTGAGCAGCGAGACACTCACCTGGCCGCAGGTCGTCTCCGGGCGCGTGCCAAGCTTCTATGATGAGAGAGAAGGTACCCTGGGAAGCGAAAGTGGGTGGGGGACGAGAGAGCGCGAGATGAGCAGGGCGGAAGAGGAGGGGTGCCTCTCCGCGGCCAGTTTAATTAATCTAATTGCAGGATAAAGTTACTGCGCCCCGGTCCACATAACGGGTCGGCGTACAGCGTGGCGCAAGCCAGGAAGGCGAGAGAACCCAGGATCTAGGGAGGGATGAGGGATGGGGAGGGTAAGTGAGAACCGCGGGCGCGGGGGGGTGGGGGTGGGGGTGGCTGTTGCGCCGCGCCAGGGTGCTTGGTAATGAAAACTGAGTCCCAAGTGATGGGGGCAGGGAGCGCAAAAGACTGGAAAGATGGAGACTGGTAAGTCTTCTCAGGGATGAGGTCCCAGGAGAGAATCGGAAAGAAAGGGCCAGAAGAGAATGCTTTTGAGGAGGATCGCGGGAGGGGGCTGGATCCCCAGGTACTCCCTCCTGTCGGCTTCTGAGACCCCCCAGCGCGCCCAGCTTGTGCTCACCGGCCAGGTGAAGTTGAAGGGCAGTTGGAGAGGGTTTCGGCCCCCGCCGCTACTGTCGTCCCCGATGGCGAAGGAGTTGGTGCCCAATACCGGCGTGGAGACGCTGCCGAAGGTACAGGGCCCGGACGAAACGACTTTCTGGAAGTGCTTTAGGCAGACTCGGAAGAAAGTCCGGCAGCCGAGCTCGCACGGCCTCCCACTGGCCAGAACGCCGCGCTCGTTGGCGAACTCCTGCAGCTGCAGCTGGAAGACGCCGGAGCCGGCTGCGCGCTATCGCACGGGGACCAAGGGAAGGAGGGAGGAGAGCGGTCAGCTCCGCGGGCGCAGGGCTGAGCCCGGAGCGCGGCGGGAGGGACGGAGAGGACGCGGGATGTTACCTGCTGCCAAAGTGCCACCAGCAGCAGTAGCGTCCAGCCCGAGCTGCTCCGGGCCGCGGCCGCCATTCCCCCGGCGTGGCGCTCTCCACCTGCGGGCCCCGAATCTGGTTCTGTTAGGGATGCTGCTTTCCCGCGCGTCCGCCCGCTAGTGGGGTCACTGAAAAGCCAGCAGCTCTTGAAACCCTCCTCCTCGGTCGCCTCCACGCTAGTTCGCGGCAGCAGTCTCGTAGGTAATCCAGGTGAGGGCCACTGGGCGGCGGCCACGCTGAAGACCAGTCCTCGGGCTAATCCTGGACGGCGCGCCGGCGGGTGCGCGGCACCGAAGCGCTCGAGCGGGCTCTCAGCCTCGTGTTTCTGGGCTGCGCGCAGCGCCGCTACTGAAACCTGCAGGCTCCGGAGCCGTCCTTATATATATTGGCTCCTCTTATCGCCGCCTGTCACTCAGACTCGGTCAATCTCCCCTCCCCTCCCAGCCTCTAACTGCCACAGTCCCAGCGCTGACCGGAGGGGGCCGCCGCCCCCTCCCTGCTAGCCAGTCGGACGCAGATCCCGCCCCTCTGCTCCTCTTCCAGCCCTCGAACCCTCAGTTCTACGTGGGCCGAAGTGACCAGTCCACTGTGACTGCCTGTTTAAGGGCTGAGACCCCAGCTGCCCGAGGACAGGGCGGAGGGGAGACCGCCGGGAGATGGGAGGGAGGGGAGCGGGCGGCCCCCTGGTGGTCCTGGGGGCGGAGACACCAGGGAGTCCCCGTGGGCGGCGCAACCGTGGCGGGTGCGGTCACCTGCCGTCCTCCAGCAGGTAAAAACAATTTATATGCCGAAAGCGAAAACTAGCGCCAGGGAACGCCGGTCTACTGCTTCTCCTTCCCGGGGCTTCGGAAGCCCTCGCCTCGTCCACCTCCGACCTAGGCTCGCCCACCCACCCCGCGTCCCCAGCGCAGCCGGGAAGCAGCGAAAGGCGCGTTAACCTCTACGCGGTCCTCCGAGCGGGGAGCCGGGACGCAGCGCGCCAGACGCGAGACCCGCCGCCCGCACCTGGTGGGCGTCTCCCCCTCGCGGCGGGCGGCCCCAGCGCGTGCCTGCTCCTCCCGGCCAGACCCCTGCCTGGCTCGGCTCGTGCCAGCGCCCAGACTCGCGGTCCCCGAGGTGGGGAGGCGGGGCGTGGTCCCCGAGGTAGCCGAGGAGGAGTCCTCAGCTGTATGGTAATGAGCCTGTGGTCCTCCTCCAGGGCCTGCTCACCTGGTCTCGCGTCAATTCCCTGGCCCACCCTGGCCCCCTGGAACCCCCTAAGCCCCGCCAGCGTCCTGCCGCTTCGCTTGGAGGAGGAGGAACTCTCCTGACCCCAGAGTTGCCTCGGGCCACTGCAGTGTCCGGGTGGGGGTGAGGCCCCGCGGCTCCAGCCCTCTCATAGGGCGGCTGCGGGGTGGAACTGCAGCCACAGGGGTTGGGTTTCGCGGCTTCTCGTCTCGCCCGCTCGCTCTCCGGGTGGCCTCCCTGCTAAGCGCGCCACAGCGCAGCTGCCTTCTCGGAACCCGCGCGATCCCTGGAGACCGCGGCCTGAGAGGGCTGGCTGCTCTCAGTCTCTGGAGTGCCCCGGGATCTCGCTCTGCAACGCCGCGGGCGGCCGGGCCCTGTGGCTTCAGCTGTCAGCCTCGCGCAGCTATGGCTGTTGCTGGACGATAAGATCAGTGCAGGGGGAGCGGGGACGCGGTGCGGGCCCCGGGGAGGCCGCGGTGGAGGGGGCGGGCGGAGCCCAACAGCTGCCAATGCCAAGCATGGTCTGATTTTTTGACTCGGGTGGTAGTGGTGGATTGGGGGGGAATGAGAAACAAGAGGTTGGGAGCGTGGGCTGGGGGAGGGCGAGGTGAGGAGACGGGCTCCGGGGTCCCCCACGCACGGCCACCCCTCCCAGCCACCATCTGGCGCGAGCGGGTTGGCGTGGGGAACCGAAGTGGGGCGGGGGCCGGCAGATGGGCCCAGGCTGCGCTCGGAGTTAATGTAGGTTATGGGCTGGCGGAGTCCCAGGCCCGAGGGAGGGGGGACCCGGGGCGTGCCTCGCGGCGATCCTGGCAAGTGGGCTTCCAGATCTTCTCCTCGCATTCTATGGACCTGCCTAGGATGCCAGAGGGTGCTCCTTGCTCTCCTCTAGCTGGCATCCAGCCCTGTCTAACTCTCTGGGTTTCCACCCCCAAATCCTGGCCTGAGAGTTCATAAAAACATGCTCTTTTTTCCTGGCATCAGCACCTGTTTGACTCAGGGAAAACATCTACCTGCACCAAGCATCTCTGGTATTACTTACTACTGGTAGACCTGAAACTAGTCTCTAGCCTACCCTGACTGAGATGTCCAGATTGCAAATGACCAAGGATGAACAAGAGTTGGGATCATTATTATCCTCGCAGTAAGGAATCCTAGAGATGTAGAACGTGCCTGATCCAATGAAGCAAGAGTTAAATTCGCAGAAGCACCTATTTACTAGGCTCACCATCCCAGAAGTTCATTTCCTGTCCAGGATGCCACCCTGGTCCTAGTACCTATGTTTGCTAGCTTGGAGAGGGTCCCAACTGCGAGATAGGCATCCCAGTGTGAGGGTCCTAATGTCTCTGGAGGCCTCATAGCTAGGACTCCTCTTTTCCCAAATATGACTTGAGGGCGAAAAAATGTAATGCATGTGCATGTAATGTGGGCTCAAAGATGGAGGCTGTGAAGTGACAGGAGACTGCAGAGCACCTGGGACCAGACACCCATCAAAATCTGCTGATGCTCCCCCCAGAGGGAGATGCCACACATTGCCTTGAGTGGGCCTAGATTCCAGGGTTTGACCAGCCTGGGCTCCTGCTGATCTTGGTCCCTGGAGCATGACGGAGGCCTGGGCTTCTGTAAGGACCACCGGCAATGTACCTGGAGGCCTCTGCTTCTGCTGTTCCCTTGGCTTGGCCACCACACACAGTTCCACCCAGCAGGCCCAACCAACACCTGGGGCCTTGCTAAACCATGAGGAACCCCGGGTTATTGGGGTGCGACAGGAGCCTCGTGGAGCCTCGGGACACCTTCCTTGCCAAGTAGCCTAAGCTGTCCCCAGGGCAACGGGCGCAGAGTCTTCACTCCTGCCTGTCCCCATCATCGCTCCCTGGGGACCGCGCCTGGGACCTGACACACCGCACCGGGCAGAAGCGCGGCGGAGTCCGAGCCTTAGCGCTCGCCCCGGGCAGGCTGGAGGCGGGGAAGCAGGCCTGGCTGGGGCGGGGCGCCTAAGCCTTGAGGGGCGCCGCTGTGGTTGCTGCGGAGAAGGGGCCACGTGCAGGGAGCGGCGGCCGGGCGGGGAGCTGCACAGAAGGCGGGGAGATTTGCAAACTGTTGCTGCCACATGGCTGCTCCATTCGATCCATTCACATTGAAATGAGGCCGGCGCGTGCCTCATCTGCCGCAGGGCGCTGCCACGCGTCAGCCCGGCCCGCCGCGTGCCAACTGGGGCAGTGGGGCTGGCAGGACCTGGCAGCCTTGGGGGCGCGGCCAGGAGGGGGCAGGGGAAGCGAGTCAGCTACCCCAGTCGCCCAGGCGCCGCAGCCCTTGGATCCTGGCCTCCATCGGGAGTGGGCCGGCAGAAAGGACCGGGATGCACAGTTTCAAAAGGGGGGCCAGGATCGATGCCGCCGCTCCCCGCAGATGCGCCCCGGCAGTGCTACTCTCCATCTGCCGCTGCTCGCACCTGCCGGTCAATAAATCGATTTTACAATTTAATGCAGCAGCTTCCCGCCCGCCTGGGACAGATGCCGCAGCAGAGGCACCTCCGCCCTCGCCCTCGCCCTCCCCCAGAGGCCAGGGTTAGGGACCCGTTCCTGCTCCGCCGGCGGCGCCCGTGGCCCGGCGCTCCTCTCGCTGGAGCCCCTAAAAGGAACTGCTTGTTCGCACTTTCCTCCAAGGACACAGTGGGTGTCCCCTAGGACCTGCCTGAGGCTGCCTGAGGAGAGGAAGGTGATGACCGGGCAGTGGCCTTGAGGACTCGCCTGGGCACTTTATGGGAGAAAGAGAACCCAGTGAGTGGCAATAAAATGTGAGGAAGAGGAGGGACAGCGGGCATAGGTACTGAAGGACCCCGAATTCTGAAGACTCAGGCGCCAAGGGATGATTGAGGTACTGGGGCCTCTGCCCACCCTCCAAGTCAGGTTGGTGAATTTGCATGGCCCAGACCTGGCTTTTGGCATATCCTGGACACCTTGGGCTTGTAACTACTCCCACTCTACACCTCAGCCTTCCCATTCCTGCAATGGAAATAATAACACAAGTGGTATGGGAGGGTGACAGAGGGACCACATCAGATTACCCAGCTTCAGGACCCAATAAATAACACCCCACCCCCACTGCCCCAGGTGAACATTCAGACAGCCAGGACTGACTTGGAAAAGATGGGGTGGTGTCTGACAGCAAATGAGTTCCAGGAAGAAAAAAGGAAAGCTGAAGATAAGCACTCATGATAGATGCTTCATGGGAGCAAAGGGGCGAAAGAGAGAAAAATGAAAAGGCCAAGTGTTTGGGAGCCTTCTGTGGGGACAGGGTGTGACAAAGTTCAAATGGGGGATCAAACTGGCATTCTGAGAATGGATTTGGAGAAGAGGTGACGGTTTGGATGAATCAGCTGCCTACACCCATAGCCTTCCAGAGGTGACCTTCCTTCCAAGGCCAGGTGCAAGTCTCAAATTGCACTCTTCCTCTGAACTACTGAATTGACCTGATCATTGAGGGTGCTGGCAGCTCAGGAAAGCTCAGCCTCTCCTGTAGCTCATGGCAAATGATCCAGATGTGCTACTGAAAGATATGCAAGTAGCTGGGATCTATGGACGCAGTCAGACACTAGGAGAGTCTCCCACCCCCTCTCTGCCAGGGTCCAGGATCCTGAGGATCTAGGTTAGTCCCATACTGCCTTCTCCAAAGACCCAGTGTAGGTGGTACCTGGCACTGGGATAACTGGTGTAGACTGTGCCTCTGCATAGTAAAAACAACTCTGAGCTACAGAAACAGAATGCCTGAGAATGAAGAAGCTGAGGGTCCTGGAAGCTTCTTCTGTGACTCATGGTTGGTAAGAAGCTCTCCCCTAGGTCAGGAAGAAAGAGGAGAGAGGGGCAGGGTGAAGCCTGGCAGCTGCAGAGACTGAAACCAACCTGGTGGCAAAGACTCACTGAATAGTAACTGGGCAGCTGCCCCTACTTCTGCCAAAAACAGGGGATGCCTGGAAAGCTAGGGCCAGGAGCCACACAGAGGGTATTTCCAGCCACAGAGGCGGCTGGGTTCAGGGCAGCATCCAGGGCAAGTTTCCCAGAGCCCTTGGCTTCCCTTTCCCCAGCTCCTTCCTGTCCCCACCCTGGCCAAGCAGAGAGGCTCAAGAGAGGAGAGCAAAAGCTCAGGGTGAGGATCTCTGCCCAGAGACCCCAGACTGCCGGCCTGGGCTTACCCTGTCCTTGCTGCCTGACTGGTTCCCCAGGACCCAGAGAGCACAGGTAAAAAGTGTTTCTGGGAGTCTAAAAGAACACGTGCTGAGGAACCCTGGAGGGTGGGCAATCAGGGCCTGAGTGTGAAGCAAAGGTTCAGACACCTTCTTAGACTAGCTTCCTTCTCTTGATGTTTTTTCCTCCCTAGAGAAGCTTTCTCTCCTCCTGGAGGCAAATTCAAGTCAGCCTGAGCAACTTAGTGAGACTGGGTCTTAAAATAAACAAACAAACAAATAAATAGGGTTGGAGATGTGGCACAGTGCAAAGGCTATTTGGTAGGTTGGGAGGTGGGTTCCTGCCAACCTCTCTACCCTTTCTCTCTACCATCCAGGTCCTCATTCCTGAAACCTCTTTCCCTGCGACCTTTGCCAGTTGCCAGGTAAGAGGCTTTTCCCAGTTCCACCTTCCCGCTGAGTCGCACCCCCTCCTCGACCCTCCATCATCGCCCCTAGGTCCCTGTGTGTCTCCCTGCCAGCCACAGCTCATCTCCTTGTTGCAGCTCTGACCTCTTTCCAGTGTCTTGCACAACCTCTGATCTCTGATCGAAGCTGCTATCCAGGCCTGAGAGAACCACCTGTGGCTCTGCTGTCTACAGCAGTGGGGATCTGGGAGTGGAGCTTAGTCACACTGACCCTAGTCCCCTGCAGTCTCCTAGAAGGAAGGGCTGGGCCTGAACCAGGAAGCACTGTGTCAAATACACACAGAGAAAGAACCCGAGGAAAGGAGCTAGGGACAGGTGCCAACTCTGAACAGCTGCCGGAGTAGGCAGGTCCCAGCTCCTTGGAGAAGCCTGAGGAATCAAGTAGGTGATGGGTCTTAAGCAGAGAATGGGGAACTGGCTGTCTCCTTCTCCCACCAATGTTAGAATGAGAGGAAATGGGCTTCAATGGTGGCAGGAAGGATTTAGGTTAGACGTATGGGAGAACTTCCTGTGACAGAGCGTCTACACTGTGTATCTCAGCGGTTAATCCAGGCTGAACTCTCCCCTGGAGTTGATAATTGCGTGCTGACACTTGCTAATGAATAACTTGCCCGGCTTGAGATTGGCACAGAACTTTCAGCCTGGAGAATTGCCTTGCTTCTAGACCAAACTCAGGAAGAAGTCTGGAGGCACTCAGGACCCGGACTCCTTCTCAGCCCCAGAGGAATTCAGGCCACTGTAAGCCAGTGTCACTTTGCCTCTCCTGCATCAGCTCTGCAGTGCCACTCTTAGAAAAATTAAGTCCTGTGGAGCTGTCCAGCCATACAAAGTTCATAACAAAGAGGGCAGGCTGGACTGAAGGTCAGAAGCTCACAGAGAATTCCAGAGCTATTCTTTTGATGTTTTTTTTCTGCAACCTCAAGGGTTCAGTAACAGCCTCAGCTAACTCTCTACATTTAGAAATACACAAACTTCAGTCATGGTGGCACACACCTGTAATTCCAGTACTTGGGAGGCTGAGGCAGGAGGATTATTAGGAGTTCGAGACCAGCCTGGGCTACAAAGTGAGCTCAAGGCCAGCCTGAACTGCATAGTAAGACTCTCTCAAAAAGAAAAAAAAAAGGCCTTCCACTTTGAATTTTTTTTAAGAGAAAGAGTTTTATTATGTTTCCCAGGCTGGTCTGGAATTTTTGGGCTCCACTGATTTTCCTGCGCTCAGTTCTCTGTCTGCTGAGAGAGTACAGGCACAGTACAGTCACTGTGCCCAGCTCAGGCCTCAGCACTTTCCTGTCCATTCATTGAGCTCCTATGCAGGTCTTGAGTCTTCTTGGGCAGTGTAAACACCCCCATTGCTGGAGCCACTCTGGCTGTTGGATTCCTGTGGTCCCTGTGGCTGACCCCTCACCTTAAATAATTTGGTCTCCACCACTGCAAAGACCTTCAGGTGAAGAGGAGGCTGGGGACAAGTGCATCAAAGCTGCCACCAAAGACTGGGGGTGCAGCTCAGTGGCAATCACATGCTTAGCATGAACAAGGCCCTGAGTTCTATCCCCAGGATCACACACACACACACATACACAAATGCTAACTAGGAAAGTCAAGGAGAGTGCACATTCCATTTGGAGCATGGCTTTGTAGGTCAATGTTTAGTTTTCCTTGGGCCTCTGTGTGTGTGTGTGTGTGTGTGTGTGTGCGCGCGCGCGTGTGTGTGTGTGTGTATGTGTGCAGAGCAGTCAAAGGTACTCATAGTTTGGGTCCAACAGTTGCAAATGAGGTTATCCATGTGCCTAGCACTGGGCCCAGTGCAGGGAAGTCATAGAGGCACACACAATTTATCTTGTGTTGTCCATAGAATGTGAAAAACAAAATCTTTGGAACCAAGGTTCGGAGGAGCACTGGAACCCCAGGAGTCAGAAGAGATTTTACTGGGAAGGAGGGATTGCACTGGCCTGGGAATGAGCAGAACCTAGATAAAGAGGGAAGCATTCCCGGTAAGGGGCATGGAGAGAGGCCAAGGATCAGCATGTGTGCAGAGTAGGCATAGCTGGGCAGAGGCTGTGTGCAGAGGCTGGCTGTGAGCTGAGACAGCCAGGCACGGAAACTCACCAGGCAGATCAATGAGGACTTGACTAAGGCACCGGGAGCCTGTGGGCTCTTGGGTAGAGGAGACTGAGTATGCAGCCACCATTTGGCAGTGGCACACAGTATCATCTGAGGCAGGGTGGTATAGAGGTAGCAAGGAGCCTGTCTACATCTGTGACTGGCCAGTGGCGGCTGGTGACCAGGTCCTGTCCCTGAATTGGATGGCTGGGTCTCTGACAACACCAGAGTCCTGACAACTTGCTGGGATGGCTCCATACTCTCCTCACTGCTACTCTGTCCTCTAAACCAATCTTTCCATATAGACCCCTGTGCATACAAACATGGTATCAGTGCGGGCTTCCAGGCTCCGGCTCTAACTTGGCCATGCCACATTCCTAGCCAGCCCTTCCCACTTTTTCCTGTTCCTCTCACAGAGGTCTGAGGCCTGCCTGGCTGCCTAGACTTGGAGGAGGACACAAGGTTGGAGCAGGCCTGGAACCCTGAAGGGAATTCAGAGGTATGTTGGGGGAATGCCTCAAACTCAAAGGGCACTTGGGCTAATTCTATACTCTGTCACTAAGGGCTTGAATACCTTCAAGGACAGACCTGTTACTCCTCTCTTAGACTGCCCCAATGCTCTTAGATTGCTCTGGTCACAGGAGATGCATTCTCTTATTGACCTAAAAGTCTTGTTGAGGTCAGTGTGGAGTAGCAGCTTTGGAAGATTTGGCCTGGACCTCTCTGAGAGTTTCTGATTGGTATAGCTGGAGGAAGAGTCCACCAGCTACCTAGGTCTGGATGGTTCTGCTGGATCCCATGGGCCAGACGGCTGCACCTGCTTGGCACCCAGGGTGGGGCAGTTTCAGCGTGGGAAGCACTGATCCATTCCAGCTTGGCTAGAGGTGGAGAAGCCAAGGCGAGGCCACCCGGGTCAGCCCTTCTCAGCCTCAGGAGGAGGCCAGCTTGGTTGGAGGGCCAGCCCTCCCTAGGCTGAGATCATTACCCTCTGGCCTCCATGCAGCCCCCACCCCCAGCTGAGCTCACTGCCCCAGCCTGCTGGGGGCATTGTTGGCTCTCAGGCCCCGCCCCAGGCTCAATGAGCTGTTCCTTGGCATGTCCGGAGGCGCAGGGTGAGGGAGGGCAGGCACAGGGCCTCTACATACAATGGGGATTCCGTCCATTCTGAGGTGGCCACGGGAACCAGGCTGGCTTTGTCCTGTGGACCCTCATTCCCACCATTTAGTGGAGCCGGAACTCCAGCGGAAGGCCCCGCATAAGAACAACAATGTCGTCACCCTGTCTGTGAAGGAAGGTGCTGCAGGCCAGGCCACCTAGGGCCCCAGAGGACCCATAACCCAATGGGTCCCAGAATGATTACCGGACCAGTGCTGTACCTTGAATCTGAGGAAGACTCAGGCAGATGGATGCTATGGCTTTACCTGCTCTGAGTCCCCCTCCCAGCCTGCAGCAGTTGTTAAAGGAGGCTCCCTGGCACCCCCAGTCATGCTCAGCGTCCCCCTGCTGAAAGGAGCCCTGGGGTGAGAAGGTGTGCAGTCAATCAAGAAGGCTGGTCAGGGCCAGCTGACCTACAGGCCTTTGCCCAGCCCCAGCATGTTTCTGGGTCTCCAGCCCCACCAGCCTACCCTTTCGGAAGTGGCGCTGGCCACTCATACAAGTGTTTATTTTCCAGCTGGGGACACGGGTGGGGGTGGAGGGGCAGGACGTCACCGCGTTTCCCTCCTGCCTGGTGCTGCAGCAGTTCTCACAGTCTGGGCACTGGTGACATCACTGGCCTTTCCTCCTCAGTTCTGGCCTCCCTCCTCTCCTCCCCTCCCCACTGGAGCCTTGGCCAGGCCACAGAGTTCTGGAGCTCCTGCTTCCGGCGCTGGCCCGAGGCACCTCCGAGTGGGCTTTAATGGAGGGTGTGGGAGTAAGAGGCCAGCCCCTCGGTCCCTCACTCGCCACCCCTCAGGAGCCCTGGCAGACAGGCCAAACACAGGGTGCCCCCCTTCATGCTCATCCCAAACCAGAATGGTTGCTGTCCTACCCAGGGCACAATCCCGGTGTGATGCTGGCCCTTTAAGGGTCTTGGGAAGGCAGAACAACAGGAAATCCAAACGGCCTCATTAGGCAGCTCGAGCTCAGCACAGTAATTAGTGCCCTGAAAACAAAACAAGGAAAAGCAGGTGGTGGTGCCCCCCCATCTCTGTTGCCCCCAGCATGGCCTGTTAGTACCCAGGACCAGGCAGCTGGGCCTGGACCCCCTCCCTTGTGGGCCCCTTCACTCTAAGCTCCTGAGGCTTGTTCTCCACTGCCCAGGCCAAGGGCCATTGCTAAGCTTGTGGAGAGTAGACTGTCTCCCGGGGGTCACAGAAGCCCCAGGGACATGCACGGGACTTCCCCTCTCCCTAGTCAGGTGGCCACTTGTCCAAAACGTCTTACACCTGTCTGGAAAATACTGTGTTGGGGTAGGGACTGGGCTGCAGGCAATGGGAGACCCCTGGAATCCCAGGCCAAGAAAGCCCCCTTAGGAGGTGAGGAAGAGCCTGCCTCTCAGGCTCTCGCTCACCCACCAGCTGAACAAGGCTACTTGGGCAAAGGGGCTGGTAAGCTATGGGCACTTACAAGCCTCCTCAGATGCCAAAAGGCTGTCCAGGAGCTGAAAGGGACATAATGAGTTTGTTTTGGCCAGGCTGCAAGCCCTGGCTCATTCTATCCTTCCCCTCCAACATTTGCTACAATTGGAACCCCACCCTGTCCCTGACCCCTTAGATGTTTTTCTTTATCTATTATGCCAGGGAAAGGACATTCTATACTCCATTTACAAAACAAATATTCATTCAACAAACATTTATGAGTGGTTGCAATATCCCCTATGCAGTGCTAGTGCAGAGTTCTGGGAAGGTTATGAGGACAAAAATGGCACTGCTTTGTGACAGCCCATTACAGTCTTTCCTTGTTCCTGGGAAGGGCTTTGAAAGAAGGAACTGATTTTCTCCTTTGCATGCCCCTCACAAACCTATAGCACCTACTGGTGAATGGCACATGCTCTAGACAATCAAAAGCAAGTCAGAGGCTGAGGTGTTACTCAGAGGTACTCAACTAGCATGGCTGAAGCCTAGGTTCAATCCCTAGTACCACAAAAAGAAAGAACCAAGATGGGCTGGGGTCTTAGCTCAGCGGCATAAGTGCCTGCCTTGCAAGCATGCAGTTGTGAGAAAAAAAGAAAGCAAGAACCAAGAAGTCCTCCTTGACTTGAGATGTCACCATGAAGCCCAGGACTTGGCTTGGCCAGGCAGCAGCACCTGTCAGAGCCCGGTATGCTGAGAGTCGGCCTCTGTGCTCACAGCCTGTGCGCGACGAGGCTGAGGGTGATGGAGGGGAATGAAACCCAGGTCCTCCTGCAAACAAAGCTGGCCTGACAGGGACAGTGGCTGCAGGCTGCGGGGCAGACACTGAGCAGGTTGAGCAGCTGGCGATCGGGCAACAGGGTTGTAATTAAACTGTGGGCAGGTTTTGGTCACACTCCTGTGAACAAAGGCTGCAGGTGTCCTTGGCCAGGCAGAAGGAGAAGGAGCAGCAGAAGAGGAGGGTAACCCAGAACCTGCATGAGCCAGGTAGCTGCCCTCTATCCAGGGCAAGGCACTCTGCATCTACCTCTGGGGGCCACTGGCTTAAAGGTGCTCACTTCTGAAAGTGTCTGATCTGACAATGAGGGGCCAGTTCAGACAGTAGTGGAGAGACACTGGCAAAGGGACCAGGATCATGGACAAGTCCTCAGCTTTGGCCACACATGAGAATCACCTGAGTAGCTCCCTAGCCATCCCTGCCAGTAGTCAGAGATCAGGCCTCAGAGACACTGGTATTTTCTAAAAGCTCCCCGGCACCCCAGTGAACGGGCATGGTTAGGGGATACGGACTGCTAGGAGCACAGAGACTCGAACCCTGGTCCTGGCCCCTAACCCAGAGTACTCCAGGCCACACCCACCCAAAGGACCAGGTAGTTGCATGCCCCAAGGGAAAGGGCAAGAGTCTTTCTAGGCCCTAGCTGGTCCCGTGGTGCTCAGTGCACACCTGTGATCCCAGTACTCAGGAGGCTGAGGCAGGAAGATCACTGTGAGTTCAAGCCAGCCTGGACTCCACAGTGAATTCAAGGCCAGCCTGAACTACAAAGCAAGACCTTGTCTCCAAAACAACAACAACAACAACAACAACAACAACAACAACAACAAAGCCCTCCCTTTTTTGACTGTGAGTGGAAAGTTACCCAGGGAGCAGCTGTGGGTAGACATGCAACAAGCCTAGGGAAAGGGTGCTCATGGGGTGGCCCCAAAGTAACCCTCCCACTTACACCCACCCCTAGGTCCTGGGGATAGCCCCTAAGAGAACATACTGGGGACTGGGCAGGAAAAGAGGTGGGCTTACCCCACCTGAGCACAGGGGCCTGATCCCATGTAGGGGGATGTGATCCTGTCCTGAATCATTTCCCGGATGTAGCTCAACAGCCCAGACTTCAAGGTTTGGGGGGGAAATCTTTTTTCCAAGTTCCTCGATCTGTCATCCCCCTCCCCCATTGGCCGGATAGACTGGACCAGTGTCCTCTCTGGGCTCCCCTCAGCCTCCCAGCTCGGACCTTCTCCACTGAGCGCTCCCTGGACATTGTTTCCCGCCTCAGGAAGTCTCTGATGCCCTGAGCTGGATTTTGTTTTCCTTGTTATCGGGACAACTAATATTTTTTCCTGTGCAGGGGGGGGGGTAGGGGAAAAAGAGATTTTCCCAAGCAGATTACAGCTGTCAGGGAGGGGGAGGGGGCTGGAGATTGAGCTTGCCCTGCATCCTCCCCCTCTGTCACCCTCACAGGGCTGAGTTTTTGAATGAAGCAGGAAGCCCTGCCTCTCTAACAGCCCCGCCAGGCAACCTGGAGCCAGGGCCCTGTCCTCAGCTCCCACTAATAGCAGCGCTGCTAATGAGAGAGGCTGAAAAGGCAAACAACCCCCTGCCAGCTGTGGCATAGAGCAGGAGGCCCTGGCCTTGGGAACTATTTCTTCCAGATCAGAGTTCTGTCCTGTCAGGTGGCCCTACAGGTTCAGGGTACCATGAGGAAGGACGCCCCTAAGAATGGTGGAAGCACACAGGAGACGCAGCTCTGCCAAACAGCCCGCTTTAATTCCCTGCTCTTCCATACCTCGGGCTGCCCACCTCCACCATGGCCATATCTAGGCAGTTGCGTTGTGACGATGCAGATGAGATAATAACATCAAATTCAATATCAGACCTGTGTGGCCTTCATAAGATCTCTACAGCCAGAGAATCAGAAAGCAAAGGCCATCGTGGAGCAGCTGGGTGTGGGGCACATGCCTAGGCTCCCTGCGACTTAGGAGGCTAAGGCAAGTTCAACAGCAGCCTGGGCAATGAGTGAGACCTTGTCTCAAAATAAAATTAGAGAGAGGCTTGGGGAGGTATCTTAGTAGCAGAGTGCTTGTCTAGCATGAGCAAAGCCCTGAATTCAATCTCTGTTCCCAATAAAATAAAAATAAAACCAAACGGATAGGGCTGGGGATTTAGCTCAGCGGCATAAGCACCTGCCTGGCAAGCGTGCAGTCATGAGTTCAATCTTCAGTACCAAAAAAACCAAAAACCAGATTTTGGTTGGATGGCACACTCTGGGTGCACAGCCCCCCCCCACACACACCCACACACACCCACACACACACACACACACACACACACACATACACACACACACACACACACACACACACACAGCCTGTGCATTCTTCTTGGATAAACTCCCACTTTCTACATCAAGATGCTACGATGCTATCCGTATGGTGCCAGGGACAGGCTACCTGGACCCCTGGGATAGGGATCTACAGTGTTATGCTACCCTAACAATAGGGCCTTATTTAAGAAGACTGAGGTTCAAGGCTGGGTGAGGCTGCGGCAGGAAGATCCCCCAAGAATTTGAGAGCAGACTGAACTATATAGCAAGACCCCGTTTCAAACAAAACAAAACAAGAAGTCTGAGTTTCAAATTAACAAATAGAAGGGCTCCACCTGTGACTCACTGGTTTGTGGTTCACAATGTAGTTAGGGGCCCCCTCAGGCCTTCTAACTTCCTGGAAGGTGCTGGCCCCCCCAGTGAGACTTCCATTAGTGTGGTGGGTGGGAGCCAAGTGCTTGTGAGCAGGCGCCAGCAAGGCCTCTGCCGGGCTTTTGGGGGTGGGGGAGTAGAATTTCTACTTAGACTGCTTTTTAGCTATAAAACAAGTTGAACTTTAATAATGTTGAGAATGGAGTCAGGCATTGGTGGTACACATCTGTAATCCCAGTACTTGGGAGGCTGAGGTAGGAAGATCACTGTAAATTTGAGATCAGCCTGGGCTACAAAATGAGCTGAAGGCCAGCCTGAACTGCATATGAGACCTTCTCTCAAAAAGACAAAATAATAGTTATAATAATAATTGTATTTATTTAGTGTACAATCTATGCATACCTTTTTTTTTTAGTGCTGGGGATGAAACCCAGGAACTTGGGCAGGCATGACAAGTGTTCTACTACTGAGCTACTTCCCCTGTCTGCATAAACATTTATAATAGAAGCTTGGAGGCACTGAGGATATAGCTCAGTGGTATAACACTTGCCTAGCATGCATGAAGCTCTGCATTCCATCCCCAGCACTACAAAAGATGCACAAGCAAGTAAAGCAGGACTACATCAACAGACTTCTTTCCCTGGGCAGCACAGTGCATGCCTGCAGTCCAATCACCCGAGAATCTGAGGCAGAAAGATTGCCCCTTAAGTCCATTAGTTAAAGGTCAGCCTGGGCAACATAGTGAGACCCTATCTTGAAAGAAATACAGAAAAAGAGAGAGAAAGGCAGAGAGGGAAGGAGAGAAGAAAGAAAAGAAAAAGGAGGAAGGAAGTGAGTTTGGGGAGATTCTCTAATACCTCCTGGAAGGAAGCCTTAGAAGCTATCAGAAGCCCCTTTCAGACTGGGTGCCCTCGTGAGGGGACCGAATGTAGGAGAGGGCTGGCAAGTTGTGGGAGCATGATCCCCACATCCTCTCTTCTCTACGTTCCCCTTTAGGCCTGCATAGGTCCCAGGTGGTACCATGCTCCCTGCAGGAGACAAAATGGTCCACTCTCTCGGCCCCATGCTGGCTGAAATGCAGCACTGGTCAGGCCAGGGTCCGCTAACTGCCCTGCATTTTGTGTCATCCCCAGGAGAAAAGTCCCTGGCGGGAGGCGGCCCTCTGCCCGGAGGCTGTTCCCTCAAGTGGCCAAGGTAAGAAGTGGGGGATTTCCAAGCTGGGACAGGGCTGACTTCACAATTAGGGGCTCCTCTCCTCTCTCCGGCATCCTCACCCTAGGACAGAAACTGCAGTTGGGCCCATGTGTTCGAGGATTTGGGGCAATACAGTCAGCTAGGGCCCACCAGTTACTATTTCCCACTCCAGAGGGAACCCCAGGCCTGCACCTGAGACTCACAGGGACCCAGCCCTGGAAGACCCCGATGGGCATCTCCAGGAAGGGTTGGGGTCTGGAAATCCAGAGCCATACTTACTCATGGGCCTGTGGGGAATGAGTCAAATCGATGAATGCCCCTGCCTAACCCCAGGTTCTGCCCCACAGCTGCCGGGTAGGCCCGGTGGTTAGAGGAGTGGTCACTCTCAATCCTAGCCCACAGGCTCCCTAAGTTGGCCAGCACTTCCACCGGCAGCTGGAGAGTCAAAGGCGATAGTGTGGGCCAGTGGCGAGCTGGGAGCTCCCTGAAACCCTGACCACAGGAAAGAGGAGCTATACTCGCATCCCCCATATTCCTGCCCTGAGCTCAACTGGTATCTGTAACCCCAGACACCAAGTGGAGGACAGGGAGGAAGTCAAGGTGTTGCATCCATGTCCCAGGCTCCAAGTCAGCCAACTCAGGCCCAGCTGCTGGGTTTAGGAAACAGCTAGATTCTCCCTCCACCGTCACGGTGTCTCCTGGGCCTCCAGTGCTTGTGAATGATGTGTGTGTGCTGTGGACATGTGCATAGGAGCTCTGTGCATGTGTATAGGCTTGTGTAAGTGAAGTGTGCCCTGTCAAGGAATAGCCGGGCACTCATGAACGTGAAACAATAAATCCAGCCACCATCATGCTAGGCTAGCACCTGTGCCAAGAGGCTTTAATGCATTATCACCAATCTGCATGCCAACTAACTCTCTGAAGGGAGGTGTAATGACCTGCATTTTACAAATCAGTAAACATTTAACACACAGAAGTTAAATGACCTGCCCAAGGTCACATAGTAAGCAGTGACCATGCCATGGCAGGGCTTGCACGAAGGTCAGTCTAAGGCCAAGCCAGAGATCTTTCCATTGGCTTCCTTAGTGTGGTTCCCCTCAATTATGCTCCATCTTCTCCTTGTCTCTGAGGCCCTGGCTGCCCTGGCCTGAGGTGACCAGCCCCTCTTCTACTCCTTTTCCTCCCAGCAGTCAAAGGTGACAGGCTCCCTTAGCAGCGCAGAGCCTGATCAGGACCGTGGGAAGCCCAGGACACTGCACATAGACCTTAACGCAAAAAGCCAGGCCCTGGTTCAGAGAGGGTCTGGCTGGGCCTAGGCATGATCAGCTAGGGCGGAGCTGAGGCAGCTGTTTATAGTAAACAGAAAGCCTTAGAGGAAGGAAGGAGGGGAGGGGCTGGGTGGTCACTGAGACCGGGACTGAGCAGCAAGGCCTCAGGCCTGATCGCAAGGAGCAGGAATGCATCCTTGCCCCACAGGGCTGGAGAAGACCTAGAGAAGTCCAGGGAGGGCACCCTGGGCAGGCTGGACAGGCAGGTCAGACAGGCCCACTGAGGACACCCTCCCTCTTCATCACGCTTTCTACTCTTGTTAACAGCAAGGACTATTTACTGAGCTGCCCAGGCACTTGTAAATGTTTTCTTATTTAACCAGATGGTAGGTACAATAAAAGTCTCTACTTTAGAGATGAGGAAATTAAGGTTCTTGATTAAGCTATTTATCAAGGTCACACGTCTTGTAAGTGAAAACAGAAATTTTGAATCAAAAATTCTTTCTACCCAGGCAGGTATAAATACTATAGATAGTGAAGCTAAGTAGGTAGGGAAACTGAGTCCCTTATATGCCAAAGGGACTTTTCCAGGCTTCTGGCATTAGTTAATGAGATTGTTGGGGACAGACCCATGTATTCTGGTCCTAACCACTAGACCACACGGCTTCTCCATGGCTCACACAGGGAAGGTCCAAGGAGAAACTCCCTTCCCAGTCCCAGCCTAGAATGCAGCTTCTTCCCCAGTGAAGACGGTGGGGCCTGTCTAGGCCTCACTGGGCCAGGGTGTGGTGAGGGATGCTGGGGGGTTTCTGCCCACACATATGGTTTCCAGATTCCAGGGGATGAAAAGGAGGCCCCGAGGGGCGGAAATGGGGGATGTGCGATGACAAATTTAGACTGATTGCTTAAAAAAAAAAAAAGCCAAGAAACCCGAAAAAATAAAAGCAAAAATTCCACCGAAAACCAGAGGGAATTATTTGATTGTGAAACTGAGTGCCATGAGGCACAGCACGGTTTAATGCGGAACAATATCAAGAAGACTCTGACTGTTCAGAGGATTCAGGGAGGGAGGGAGGAGGCTCTGCTGGCTGTTCCTGCCTTGTCTATTGGAGTCTGGGACTGGTACAGTATTGGGCAGGATGCCTTGGAGATGTCAGGGGTGAGAAGCACTTTCCGTGTGTGCGCGTGCGCGCACGTGTGTGTGCTTTTGAGGCATGGGCCCTTCAGAGTCACACCCCAATGTCCTGCTGCTCAGGCCAAGGATCCTTCTTGGCTTATGCCAGGAGCTGCCACGGTGGTGTCTGCATACCCGAGAGCAGGCAGAAGGGTGAGTGCTAAGGTAAGGCCTGAGGATGTCTCAAGAGTTCCAGCCTTTAGGGAAATAGCCAGGAACAGAAGGTAAAACAGAGGATGTCTGCCTGGAATTTGCCTGCAGCAGGTCCAAAGGAGATCAAAGGTCAAAGGGGGACAAGGGGGACTTCCTGAAGCTCTCAAGGGAGTGCCAGCCAGCCAGGCTGTTGTGCAAGCTCCAAGCTGGACATCTATGGCAGACTGGCAGAGGGACCAGGCCTCTTCAATGGCCAAAGTGAGGTCTATCCAGCCCCTTCAGTCTGTCCCATTGGTCATCTGGAGCTGGAATCATGCCTTTCCTCCTCCAGAAAACCCTGTCCCCCGTCCCCCGTCCCCCAGGGAGTACTCCTGTCCCATCTCACTGGCTGTGTTCCTATCCAGAGCCTTTCTCCCCTTAAGTCACCATTCTGCCAAAAACAAACAAAAAAACCAAGAAAATCTTTCTTGAACAAGCCTTTCTTCTAGTTCCACTCTGATTCCTAGAGAAGGAAGAGGGGTTTGTGAGGCAAGAGCTGGTGTGGTGCCTACAAGGTCCTAGGCCTGGAGGGATGAGGCTCAAGAGTAAAAGGAAGAAATCAGTGGCCAGGGACTGCTCGAGGTTGGGCCTGGGCTCAGTTTCCAGATGTACTGGACTGTTCTTGATGAAGTTTTATGAAAGCTATGCTTTCACAGGTTTACTGTGTACTCACACTAGAAACCAAGGTTCTATGGGGCAAGATTAGTCTGGCAGTGATGGCTGATAAGGACAAAGACCCACATTTGCCCTTTCCAGAGTCAGTTCAAGCCACCTTGGCTGGAGGTGAAAGCAAGCATCAAGAGGCGTTCCCAGGATGTCTGTCAGACCATGGGCACAGGATCACTGCCAACTGCTGCTGAATCTCATAGATTGAGGATCTACGAAAAATAGCTCAGTGGTTTTCAAATGGGGTTCCCAGGCACCTTGGCATCCCACAGAGATTGGGGTGGTAGAGGAAGGGCTAAGCTGATGAACAGGGGTAGGTGTGGGCCATCCAGTCTAGCTTCCACCAGATATGCTCAGCATATTAAATCCAGGGACTAGACATCCAAGAAAGCTTCTGTTTGAACAGGGTTCCACAGCTCTCCATGGTCTCTGAGATCACCGCAGCTCTTGTCCTCTGGGAGTAGTTCAGGTCCTGAGCTGCAGGGGAACACTGGAGGATTTGGAGAGAGATTTGGGTTATGTCTAGGCTTCTAGTCTTGTGGAGAAGCCAGGGAAGACAGGTTGTGCTTTAGAGCTGTGAGACTGGGCCACATCAGGGAGGGTGAGTGCAAAGATACATGGCACCTGCCTCTGTACCTGGGAAACACAAATGAACTTTGGCCTCAGCAACCCAAGAACTGAAAAAGTACTCATCTTCCTGGGGTCAAATGATCATTTCCCTGTTCAAACCTGTCTTACCCGAATGGATATCAGTTACTGGCTGCCAACTGAGGGCAACTCAGCCTTCCACAACCTCATGGATGGCTCCTGACAGCTCAGTCCAAAATTACTTCAAGGAAAACTATATTCGTGGTGCACGCCTGTAATCCCAGCACTCTAGGAGGCTGAGGCAAGTCCAGCACAGGGCAGCCTAGGCAACTTAACAATTTAGCAAGACTGTAAATAAAATCTTAAAAAAGAAGTAGAGGTGGGAGCTGGGATGCAGTTCAGTACAAAGTCCCTGTGTTCAATCCCTAATACAGCTAAAAAAAAAAAAAAAAAAACTTCACAGGAAGAGCTACCCTGGGAAAAGAAAGCCCTAATCCTGGCAGAGAAGGCACCAATCCCCTTGAAAGGAGAATCTTAGTTTGTGTCCTTTTATTGGTCAGCGTTGGCTAAGTTTGCATGCTTTGCCTCAGTTTTCCTTGTTGGCAACATGGTCATGAGAAGAACACAGTCACTCTCCTGGTGGCTTGAGCAGGCACAGCTCCTGGATTAGCATCACCTCCATGCCCCAGGTGAAGGTTTGCTCAAACACTGAACTATCCAGCATCCTCCTCCTACCTCACTGTCCCCTCTAGCCTGACCACTGTTCACCCTCAACCTGCTACAGGGCCCAGCCTCACCCTACACAAGGAAAGTTGCCAGCAGGGCCCTTTGTGGTGATAGTCCCATGTGGCACTGCCTAGGGGCCCCACCATGGGGCAACAGATGGACCTATGGTCTCTCCAGAACAATAGTGGGGGAGGGGCCTTGGCATTGCCCGCCCCAAACAGGAAGCATTGCATGAGCTTCAAAGGACTGGCAGGGCCAAGGGGCTGAGTCGGGGAGCTAGTGCCAGGACTGGCGGCTGCCTGAAGAGTTGCCTGCCAGTCTCAGGATGCCTAACATGGTAGTGGGGGTTGGGTTGTGGTGGCCAGGGCAGCTGGAAGGTGGGCAGAGGGTTCCTTGCCTGCTCACAGCTGTGGATTCTGGCTGGAAGCAGGTTGGGGAAAGGGAGCTTAGGCATTGGGCTATTTCAGTTTGGATGCCACTGGCCAGTGAGGCTGCAGGTTCTCTCTCAGGCCATAGTCCACCAGGCTCTCCAGCAAGCAACAAGAGGGGCAGGGCTGGCACCAAGCCTGCAGCCCACTCCCTGCCTCCTGCTCCCAGCTGCTCTGCTCAGAGCCTTTTCCTTTCCACTTCCTGTTCACACGGGGGGGCGGGAAGTGAAGGGAGGAAGGTGGGGGGAGTCGTGTAGGGGGGACCCATTGAATAAAAGGAATTAACCGTTTCCCTCCTCTGACCTCTGGGAATTTCCGCCTGTGAAAGTGTCTCGAAGAATCGATAGAGCTAGGGGGGATGGAGAGGAGGTGTGCCCCTCTGCGCCCCTCCCCCACGCTTTTGGTGAGGCCATATAACTCCCTCTGGGCCCCTAACCTTTTGTTTCCCTGGCGCCAAGGGCGGCCCAGGAGCCTGGTGGCCTCAGGGACCCCTCCAACCAACGGAGGTGGTGCAGGTCCTAGTCTGCGTCCCAAGCCTTGGGGGGAAGGGCAGGAACCTGAGAAAGGTGGTCCCGAGGGGAATGAGCTCACAGCCAGGCTGCTGGCTTAAGCACGCGCTCTGTGTCAGGGCTGGTGCCCTTGGCCAGTCTGCCCCAGGAGGAGGCCTGGGAACTCCAGGCGGGCACATCCTCTCATTGCCACTCTCCTAGGAGCAGGGATTTTGGACGCCAGTAGACAGCGCCCCCTTGTGCCAGCGATCAACTAGGCAGCGCAGTCCCTAGGGCCCTCTCAGGGTGGGACTCAGGAAGCACCTGCTCCCCAGGACCAGTGCCTGCCCAGCGCGTCCCCCAGGTGGCTTCCTTATTTACAGGCCTCCCGCCCTGGTCCCGGCGTCACTGCTTGTGGCCACGCCTCCTATTTCCAGTGACCGCTCCAGGAG